ATTATTAGATTGTCAATTAATTCTTGTTATTCATAGTCAAAGGTATGCCTTTATTGTTTGGTGATAAAAAAATAAAAAATATTTTTAATTTTTCTTTTGATTGAGAATAAACAATTGGTTGAACATTTTCATGATCATATCGATTTATATCTTCATTTTGAATACTTTCTTTATAACAAGCAAAATTTGTTAATATTATATGATAACCATCTTCTAATGTTAAATTACGATGTTCTAAACAATATTTTATTTATTTAAAATAATCTGAAGAAAAACAAGAGAAAAAAAAAACACCTTCTGTTTGTCCATGAAGAACATGAAAAGATGCAGTACGTCGCTCTTCATGCATTGGCATAGCAATTATTCCATAAAGACATTGTTCATGTGCTGCATTTTCAACAGCTTCTATTAATGTAAAATCTTCTCGAAGAAGTATTATTGATGTTACCAAACCATGACAAACAAGGCGAGATGATATTTCTTCACCATAACTTCTGAACATATTTTTATATTAAAGAAAAAAAACAACAAAAGAAAAATTAAAAATATTTTTTATTTTTTTATCACCAAAAAATAAAGGCATACCTTTGACGAGGATTAACAAGAATTATTTGACAATCTACTAATTGTCTTGGATTATCAGGTCCGGACAAAATAGTATAACATGATTGATGATAACGAGATGACGATTCATGTGATTTATTATTTGGAGACCGACTTAAACGATGTGAACTACATTTTGATGAAGATATTATAACACGACGATCACCAAATATTTCCACTTCATTTGAATCTCTGTAATATTCAATTTAATATATATAGAGTGATCCAAAAGTAATCGGGTGGTCTTTGATTGCGAATAACTTTTGATAGGAACAAGATAAAGAGCTGTGCTTTTGACCATTCGAAAGAAGAAATGAAGACGCATACGACTGTGTCATACAAGATAATTTAACTTAATTTTTTTTCGAGGACTTTAATTGACGTTTTTGAAAAGCAAAGTATTCTGTAAGATGACTAGACTGCATTTGTCATGATTAGATATGCATTCGAACTGCTAGTCGAAGATCTACAAAATCGTGTAAAGGCCAGACTTTGAGAGTTACTTCTTCACAAGTTCTAGGTATTCTACTAGAAATTCTGAGTCGATTTTTCTATTCATTTCTGTGAAAAAAAATCCCTTTTCTGCATTTTTCTTATTTTACAAGAAACTTTTTTTTCCGGCAATTTTCTTAGAAAAATGATTAAGAAAACTCTAGAAAACATCTTAGAAAAACCTATAACATAAGACTTGATGCATCTTCATCTCCTCTTTCAAACGGTGAAAACTTCAGATCTCTATCTCATTCCTATGAAAAGTTATTCGCAATCAAATACTGCCCAGTTACTTGTGGATCATCCTGTATATTTCCTAATTTCATCTTCGTTCAACTTTATTTTTGATTCATCTTCAGTTTATCATCTAAGTATGAATATCCGATTGATGAAACCAATCTATGTTTATAACTAACATCTTTCAAACTTGTTTACAACGATGGAAAACTAGTTTCAAATTTATCGTGA